CTGCAGAGAGAAAGCTCCCCAGGGTGACACAAAGAGATCGGCACAATGTCCAGGATACCCCTTTTTCTTCCATGTGTCCTAGATGTTGCTCCCCTCCATTGCCCATACTTGCCGATACGTTCCTAGTGTGAATCAGGGCCCCATCAGTGTGTGTTCCAACAATCTGCATTGCACACCTTATGTGGAACAAGACATGTGCTGCGGTCTATGTGGCGCAACGAATGTAGTGCGGCATGCGTTGTGTAATACATGCGATGTGATCTACGTTGTGCAAATACCATGTGTATATCATGGCTGACGAATTGTGTGTATACATTGTGCTATCTCCGTAGTGCAACATATGCTGTGCAATGTATGCGGTGCGGTCATGTTTTGCCATATGTGCGGTACACTCTACGTCACACAGGCAATTCACCCTGTCGAACTTGAACTTGTCAACTCCAGTGCTCGCGCAATCGTCCCACTCACCCACCCGCAATTTGGTCTGCAAAACCTATGTGCCAGCGATTGCGATGATTGCTCGGCGCTGGCTGCCGCATCGCCGCGGCCGCGCTGGCGCGTATGCTGGTGCGCAAAACGTCCAGCTACTTTGGCGCGACCGACGCGGTGGAGCTGACCGCTGGGCACTTCCCAACGGGCACTGCAGTATGAGTCGGCGATTGGGCGGGCGCGGTATTATGGCACCGTCGACAACGGTAGACGCGATGATGACGGTAGCGATGCTGGTGACGATGATGACAACGACGACGGCACGGCCAGTGATGGCGCCGATGCTGATCACGCCGACGACGATGACGGCGTCCTCCCGTCAGTGATGAAGGTTTTGGAAGGAGTGCGACATGCGCCCGCGGCAGACGCGCGGATAGCCCGCATGGTATTATTGGACACGGATCGCGCCCCCCACCCCCCCTGGCACGCGCGCAATGGTGTTCGACTGGTTTCGATATGCGGCGCGAGAGGCCCGATGGGCAGAATTTAACGAAGATGAAGAAGAATCCCTGGTAAACTCAAGAATTCGCAAGACCGCGAGCGCAAGAGCTTCTCTTGGAAACTGATACTGCAAAACACTGTGTTTTATGTTTCCGGGGACATTCCATTCTGAAATTCTTACAAAACCTCAGGTTTGTGAACGATTCGGGCATGATCGCGCGACGACGCGCGCGCGTGCACTTCGTCCCATTTTTGCCAGGGACTCTTGCGACAGCACGCGCGAAAGGGCGCTCTTGCGGCACCAACGTGCGCGCGCGAGAAGCCAGTCTGGTAGCATTTTATGAACATGTTTAAAGACCACATGGTCTTCGTAAGAACTCGCCAGAGCGCGAGCGCAAAAATTTTCCCCACCCGACAGGTTGGAGCTGTTAGATTGCAAGAGAAAGACCCCCGGCCAACCCCACCCTGCACACCGCGGCCTCCAGACCGCCTCGCACCCGGCCAACCCCACCTTGCATACCGCGGCCGCCAAACCCCAAGGTGTCCCGACTGTCCCGAGTATCCCGGGTGTCCCACCTCGCGCCCGGCCAACCCCACCCTGCCTACCACGGCCGCCAGACCCCAAGTTGTCCCGATGATCCCGCCTCGCGCCCTCGACGAATACGACAGAACACAACGTGAAATGGCATAACCGAACATCACATAACACACCTTGACAAAACATATCAGATCATGACACAGCATTACAGAACATATCATAGCACGACGAGCATAGCGACGACAAACACGACAGAACACAACATGACACAACAGAACATGAAAGAACATAACACGAACATGACAAACATGGCAGAACTGAGCATAGCAGTGTCATGAAAAAAACATAACATAACATCACAGAACAGACCTGGGCAGAACATGGCAGAACAGAAGACGACCTCATACAAGAATATAAACAATCATACTATAACGAACCTTGACAGCACATATCATATCACGACACAGTTTTACATAACATGTCATAACACGACAGCAGAGCATAGCGGCACATAATAGCAGAGCAGATTATGACATACTATACAGAGCCGAGCCGTCAACAAACAGAAGATCACAGTACATGGTAGAGCAGAAGACGACATAACACACTAGAAGAGAGCATAACCGAGCATGACATAACACACCTTGACAAAACATGTCATAACATGACACAGCATCACAGCACATATCATAACACGACAGCAGAGCATAGCGACAAAGAAAACGACAGAACACGACATAGCACAGCAGATCATTACAGAACAGAAGACGAGCATGACAGAACATGACAAAACAGACAAAATGGAGCATAACATAACATCACATAATATACCAGAGAAGAACATGATAGAACATAAGACGACTTAACACAACATAACAAAACACAACCCAGCATACCTTAACACACCTTGACATAACATATCATGTCAAGACACAGCATCACAGAACATATCATAGCACGTCAGCAGAGCATAGCGAAACAGACTAGCAGAGCATATCATACAATGCTATAGTAACTATGCAGAACCGAGCCGTCCAAAAACAGAACATCACAGAACATACCAGAGCAGCACATGACAGATCAGAGGACGACGTAACACGACATAGCAAACCATAACCGATCATACCATAACACACCTTGATAATAATAATAATAATAATAAGCCGAACTGCCAACAGCATCACGTAACGTAATATACTATACTGAGCCGAGCTGTCAACAGCATCACGGATCAGAGCAGAGCATACTATAAAACAACTTGACATAACAGATCATGTCATAAGATAGTGCCACAGAGCAGACCATGCAATAACATGTCAAATCAGATGGTGACAAACGTGAGCAGAACATAACGTACGCGATCAGAAAAGACACAAACAATTGACGAGGAACAGCATAACAGACGACGCATCTAACATCACAGGCGTCACGAAGTCACGCCGTCCCGTCGAAAGCACACCATAACATACTAAAGCATAACATGAAAAAACGTGACTACATGGAACACGGTTGAACCGTGCTTGAATCCAGAAACGGCAGTTGGACAGTGGTGGAGAAGATTACCACGACAAAACAGGACAGCAAAATATACGAACCTAACAAATCAAACTATACTATACTGAGCTGAGCCGTCAACAGTATCACGGAACATAACATACTATAACACAACCTGACAGAACATTTCATGTCCTAACACGGCGCCACATAACAGAACATAACATAACAAACGAACACATATTATTGCAAAAGCGAACATGACAGAACATACTTAAACGGAAGAGATAACGGAAGGGCAGAGGGATACAATAACACAACGTACCGTACGTACATGTTCGTCAGCTTGGCCGCAGGAACCAAAAGTCACAGCAATGAGCGATTCGACGATACATCTAACGTGATCAGCGTAACGACGTCACGCTGGCCGGTCGATATCATAACATCACAGAACACTGTGTCACATTTTACAGTGGGGCAGAATCCTACCACACACACACAAACACACACTCACACTATAGCACAACATCGCGTGTGCATTAGCCACAACTCCACGGCGTCGCCCAAGCGTCACGACGTCACGCTGGCCCGTCGAGAACAGAACAGGGCATAATAGAGCATCACATGGTAGAACCTTCCTACACGGAACATTGTGGAAGTGACAAGCGTCGCGACGTCACGCTGGTCCGTCGAGATCACAGCATCATAGAACACAGCATCACATACCACATCGGGGCAGGACAAAACCAAACGCACTATAGCAAAACATCGCCTATACAGCAGCCACCACACCACTGCCTCGCCCAAGCGTCACGTCGTCACGCTGGCCCGCCGAAGACATGACCGGACACAACGGGACATGGCATGATAGACCGTTACCACATGGAACATGGTCGAACACTTTTGAATACAGCAACAGCAGTAGTGAAGATGAGTATCACGACAGAACAGGACATGACAAAACACACTAAAAGAGCAAATCAGACCATTCTATACTGCGCTGCGGCGTCAACAGCATCACGGAACGGAGCATACTATAACCTAGCCTGACAGAGCATATCATGTCCTAACATAGTACCGCAGAGCAGAGCGATTCGACGACGTATCTAACGTGACAGGCGTCACGACGTCACGCTGGCCCGTCGATATCATAATATCACAGAACACAGTGTCACAGATTGCATTGCTGCAAATTCCAATCAAACACACTATAGCATACAGTAGCCACCACTCCACTGCCTCGCCCAGACGTCACGACGTCACCCCGGCCCGTCGAGGTCAGAACATACCAGAGCACAGTGTCACGTCGGGTCAAAACAGCCAACGAAACACACTCCAGCACAACATCACGTATACAGTAGCCACCGCTGCGCGGCGCCGCCCCGTCGTCAGGCTCACCGCGGGAACAAACAAGCGCAGCAATGACCGATTGGATGACGCGTCGAACACGACAGGCATCCCGAAATCGTTTCCCCACCCAATAGGTTGGGGCTGTTAGATTTCAAGAACAAGCCCCCCGGCCAACCCCACCCTGCAGACCGCGGCCGCCAGACCCCAAGTTGTCCCGATGGTCCCAGGTATCCCGCCTCGCGCACGGCCAATCCCAACATGCATACCGCGGCCGCCAAACCCCAAATTGTCCCGATGATCCCCGAGAGTCCCGGGTTTCCCGCCTCGCACCCTCGAAGAACACGACAGAACACAACAGAACATGACAAAAAGGAACAGAGCATGACAGAGTATGACAGAACAGAGCATATCAATATCATGACTAAGTAAAGCATGACATAACATCACATAACGTGGCAGAGCAAAACCTGACATAACAGAAGACGACAGATCACGAAATGGCATAACATCACTTAGCACTAAATAACAGACCTTGACAGAAAATACCTATACGACCACCCTTCGGGTGATAAGGAGGTTTGGGGGGGAGGAACCAACGTCTCACTCGATCGGTCTCACTATCGATCTCACTACCGATCTCACTATCGGTGTCGCACGATCGATCCCTCTCGATCGATCTCACCATCGG